GGCTTAACCAATGCTCTTGTAACCTTCCAAAGATTAATGAACATTGTCTTTAATGAGTTCCTAAGAAAATTTCTCCTTATTTTTTTTTTATGATATCCTCATGTATTGCAGCAGTTTAGAAGAGCATTTAAATCATTTGAGGCAGGTTTTGTCAACTATGAGGTGCAATTCTCTCTATGCAAAAAAATCTAAGTGTTATTTTGCTGTGGATCAAGTTGAGTATTTGGGATATTTCATTTCAAAGGAAGGTGTTGCCACTGACTGCTAAGGTTGCTGCAGTACAGCATTGGCCCTTACCTCAGTCTTTGAAGCAGTTGCGGGGATTCTTAGGCTTAGTTGGTTATTATAGGAGATTTGTAAGGAATTATAGTACTATTGATAGACCTTTGACTAACATACTTAAAAAGGATAACTTTACTTGGTCTGTTGAAGCCAAGACAGCTTTTCAGAAGTTGAAAGCTACATTAATTCAAGCACCTGTCCTTGCCTTACCTGACTTTTCAAAGGTTTTTGTTTTGGAGGTTAATGCTTCATGTCAAGAAATTGGGGCTGTGTTAATGCAGGATCACCACTCTATTGCTTTTATTCTTAATTTTTAGCAACAATCTCAAACTTATGGAAGGAGCTTTTGGCGGTAGTTTTTGCAGTACAAAAATGGAGGCATTACCTCCTTGGTAATCATTTCATTTTTAGAACTAATCATAGGAGCTTGCAGTACATCCTTAAGCAAAGATTGACTACTGCCTTTCAACAAAAGTGGTTGGTCAAGTTGATGGAGTTTGACTTCTCCATTGAATTCAAGCAAGGTCATGAGAATGTTGCAGTTAATGCACTGTCTAGACAGGAACCTATCACATGCCAAGCCATCACTACACTCTCAGTTGAGTCTAAACTATTGAATAGAGTTAGGCTTTCTTGGTAAGCTGATTAGCATTTGCAAAAGTTGATTTCTAAGTTGCAAGTTGATCCTCTCTCTCATAAACATTATGCTTGGCAGAATTCTGAGTTACAAAGAAAAGGGAGATTGGTAGTTGGTCAAGATGGAATTTTACAGAAAGAACTTTTCACTTGGCTACATTCTTCGGCTGCTGCTAGACATTCAGGCAAAACAACAACTTTGAAACGTATGCAGACATTCCTGTATTGGAAGGGATTAACTAAAGATGTCAAGACATGGATTTTACAGTGTTCTATGTGTCAAACTTGTAAATATGACACTTCAGCTTCTCCTAGGTTGTTACAACCTTTGCCTATACCTGAAAGAGTGTGGCAGCATATCACAATGGACTTTATTGAAGGTCTTCTTAATTTCAATGGAAAACAAGTAATATATATAGTCATTGATAGATTGAGTAAGGCTACCCACTTTATGGCTTTGAGTTATCCTTACACTCAGCTGATGTGGCTCAAAGTTTTCTTGACAATGTGCTTAAGCTTCATGGATTTTCAGATTCAATCACTAGTGATAGAGACCCTACATTCACTAGCCATTTCTAGAAAAATTTGTTGTCTTTGTAAGGAGTTCAAGTACAACTTTCTACTACCTACCACCTTTAAACCAATGGACAGACAAAAGTTGTCAATAGGTGTCTTGAGACCTTCTTGAGATGTATGTGTTATGATGTTCCTAGTGCTTGATCTTGATGGTTACCACTTGCTGAATTGTGGTATAACACCACATATCACAGCTTAATTAATGCAAGTTCTTATGAAGTAGTTTATGGTCAAGCCCCTCTTGTCTACTTACCATACCTTCCTGGAAAGTCTAAAATTTAGCTTGTTGATAGGAGTTTGCAAAAAACGAGAAGAAGTTTGGAAGTTAGTCAAGTTCCATATTAGAAGAGCTTAACATAGGATGAAACAACTTGCTAATATGCACAGAACTAACAGGAAATTTGAGATTAGTGATCTTGTCTATGTGAAGCTCCAACCTTATAGGCAAGTGTAAGTTGCCTTCAGGAGCAATGCCAAGCTTAGTCCTAAGTATTATGGTCCCTTTGTTATGCTAGATCGTATTGGCGAGGTGGCATACCAACTACAACTTCCTGCTCATTCTTAAGTCCATAGTGTTTTTCATGTTTCTCAGCTTAAGAAGCATGTTGGTCCTGCTGTTACTATTGCTAAATTACCTACTACCTTGGATACTGTTGTTGGAGGAAGGGAGCCTGAAGCAACTTTAGATAGAATGACTGTTAAAAGGGGTAACAAAGTTGTTACCAAGGTTTTAGTAAAGTGGAAGCATCAATTGATTGAAGATGCTACTTGGGAATTTTTCTTTGGTTTGAAGAAGAGGTTGCCTAATTTCAATCCTTGAGGACAAGGATTCCTTTAAGGGTGGAGGATTGATACGGGTCTTATTGTAATAAGGACACGTGGCAATAGATTGAAGAATTAGTTTAGAAGTTGTTTGGCAGTTATTCCAAAATTTGAAAAGCTGTTACAAGTTGTTAGGAAGTGCAGCTATAATAAAAATTGTGGTTCAAAATCATTGGTTTTTTTTAGATTTACACTCTTCTATTATGAAGATTCTCTCTATTATTCGTCAATAAAGATTTACTCTGATTCCATTCTTTTCTATTAGATTCCTTGCTGTATGCAAATCCTTCGAATTCTCTGAAATTCCTAGCTTTGCGATATCAGATTTGTATATTCTATTTGTTGTTATAATTCCAACTTCAAACTTCTTGACCCTATTCATTTTAGATCCATTACTTATGTTCATACTGTGGATGGGAGTAAGTGAGGCATTCATTGCCCATATTATCTGCCAGTAAGTTCATCTGTGGTATTCATTTTTAATTCTCTATGTATCATCAAAGACTTGATATTCCAACCGAGAAGTCATATTTTCCTTTTGTTTTGTATTTCAATTATTTGTGAAATTATATTAGCGGGTATTTGATGCCCATAAAGCTATCGTGGAGTTTAATAAAATAAGTTCTTCTTTTGCCTAAACAAATGTCTAATAACAATTTTCTTGCTGACGTTATTTATGCATTTCTTTTGAGTTATTGATGATCCAGAAACCCACTACTTATTTCAGAAATTTATTTGGCAGTTCTCATTTATTAATGTTGTCTGTAATATGTTGATACTTTTTTTTTCGTGCTTTTTCTATCTAAATCTGAATAGTTTCCTTTGCTTTTCATAAATTTCAGGAGACAAGGATTATTTTATGAGATTTCAAAAACTTGTTTTTCTACTATTGCTTAAATTTGATCAATCTCTCTTAGGTAAATATGTTAATATGTTCTTGAAAATAAATTTCTAACTTTGCTTTCTTTCCTTGGTTGCAAGTTCTGTTGTTATTTAAAGTTACAACTTGACTTTTTGTGTTACTGTTACAAACTAAACCTAACAGAGAGCAATTAAGATGAAAAATAAAAAGATATAAGGAAAAATTGGGTGTATATTATTGAATAGATTGAAATATCAGTAGGGAATATAACCGCTATTGCCGAGAGCATGACTCCAATAGAGAGCTATTGCTCTCTATCCATATTTAACCATAAAATGCCCTCTCTCCTTACCCCTTCTGCCCCTATAAGGATAGTCATAACTAACTCTCCCTATTACCTTCTTTCTCTGCCAGCTCATTATCCATTCTTTCCTTTCTCCTCTTATACACCCTCCAAATGGTGGGCCTCCTATATGGTTGGTGGACCGTAATGCTCCTAACTATTTTGGGTCATAACACTGCCTCCTTGTCCCCAAGGCTAAAGCTCAAAAATTGATTACGGATCGTAACTTCATCCTCCCAAATAGCTTTGTCAACTGTCTACCTCTTCTAGTAAATTAACAGCCAAGTAATAGTTTCTTCACCTTTGGTCACAAGGCAAGAACCTAACACCACCCACGATTCGTGCATTGTCATAAACTCACCATCCAAGCCCAATGGTAATTCTTGTTCAATTTTGTAATCACCCACAGCCTTCTTGAGTAATAAGACATGAAACACAAGGTGGATTCTTGATGTTTCAAGGAGTTGCAATTTATAAGCTACCGTCCCAATACGCTCTAACACTTGGAACGACCCATAATATTGAGCTGACAATTTGGCCTTAATCCGAGCAACAATAGAAACTTGATGATGAGGGCGTAGTTTAAGAAACACCCATTAGACTACCTCAAAACTTCTCTCCTTCCATTTTCTATCAGCTTGATTTTTTATTCTATTTTGAGCACGGTGTAAATGATGTTTAAGCTATCACAGAGCCTCATCTCTATCCAACAACTCACACTTTACAACTTCTACATTCGTTTCACTGTGGAAGAAACGAACTAAGACAGGGGACTTTCTTCTATAAACAGCTTCGCAGGGCATCATTCGTGTCGTCTCATGGAAATTGGTATTATACCAATATTCTACCCAATGTACCCACTGGAACCAGGTCTTATGCTGATCCGCAAAAAATAACGCAGATAAGTTTCTAGACAATGGTTTACAACCTTTGTCTGGCCATCTATCTCTGGATGGTAAGCAGAACTCATCTTGAGTTGAGTACTTTGTAACCTAAAAATTTCTTGCCAGAAGTTACTAACAAAGAGAGAGTCACGATCGCTGATAATGGAGAGAAGAACACTATGTAACTTTATCACTTCTTTCATAAATAACTCTGCCACAATCCTAACAAAATAGGGGTGCTTCAGAGAAAGAACATGGGTGTACTTCGAGATCGGTCCACCACAACAAAAATTATATTATACCCACATTATTTAGGCAACTTCATAATGAAATCCTTAGAGACCTCATCCCAAATTTGCTCTGGAATGTTCAAAGGTTGTAAAAGACCACTAGGTGACATGACCATATACTTTTGCCGCTTGCAAATATCACATTTTCGAACAAAATCTTGGACTGTCTTCATTATCCCAATCTAGTATAGGTTGGCGACAAGTCTTTTGTATGTTTTATAAAAACCAGAGTATCCCCCTTGGAGAGAGGAATGAAATTCTTTAATTAATTTAGGGATCCAAGAGGATGTGGACGGTAGTACCAATCAACCTTGATAGAGCAGAATTCCATTTTTATACATGAACCCTGGTCTGCAATGATAATCCTTCTGTAAATCAGTGATAATTTTAGACAAAACTGCATCAGTGCGAACTTCTTCCATGATTAGCTCTTTGTCTTCCCAAATTGGATAGGAAATTAGGAAACCAAACTCACTTGTGTCATACATGCGTGATAAAGCATCAACCCCTTTATTCTCCAACCCAGGCCTATACAGGATGTTAAATTGATAAGCAAGAAGTTTTGCTGCCCAATTTTGTTGATTCATAGTAGATATCCATTGTTGTAACAATTGACCCAAGCTCTTTTGATTTGTGAATGCTGTAAATTCTCTTCCCAAAAGATAAAGGCGTCAATGCTTAATAGCCAATGCCATCCCCATTAGCTCATTCTCATAGGCAGACTTAGATAGGTTGTGTCACTTTAAGCCTTGCTGAAGAAGGCTATAGGACGCTTGCCTTGTGTTAGGATCGCTCTTATTCCTTAACCTGATGCGTCACATTCAATGCTAAAAGGTTGAGCGAAGTCTGGAAGAGCTAATACTAGTGCTGTTATTAATTTTTGCTTTAATAGTTTAAAAGCAACCTGAGCATTAGGGTTCCACTGGAAACCATCCTTCTTGGTGAGCTCCGTTAATGGTCTTGCTATCTTGCCAGAATTTTGAATAAACTTGCGGTAATAACCCATCAAACCCAAAAATCCTCTAATTCCTTTGACACTTATAGGTATAGGCCATTGGATAACACTTTGGATTTCCTCTGGATCCATGGCTACTCCTTGATGTGAAACTACATGACTCAAATACTCCACAGAAGATTGAGTAAAAGAGCTTATTTTCCACCAACTGATGTTGCTGCAGAATATCCATCACTGCCTTCAAGTCCAGCATATGAGTATCCCAATCTAGGCTATATACCAAAATATCATCAAAAAATATAAGTATAAATCTTCTCAATAAAGGCCGAAAAATCTCATTCATCAAAGCTTGAAAAGTAGAAGGAGCGTTCATCAAACCAAAAGGCATTACAAGATAATCATAATGCCCTTCATGAGTCCTAAACGTTGTTTTACGGATGCCCTTCTCTTTGACCCGCACTTGGTGGTCTCCCAACTTAAGGTCTAATTTGGAGAAAAATGCAGCCCCATGCAATTCATCCAATAATTCATCAATCACTAGTATTGAAATTTATCAGGCATTGTTACCTTGTTCAATGCCCTATAAACAATGCACATCCGCCACGAGTCATTTTTTTTTTAACTAAAATTACAAGGCTAGAGATTTCACTATTACTTTGCCTCATCATACCTGAGTCCAATGTATCCTTGATTTGTTTTTCAATATCCATCTTGTGGTGGTAAGGATATCTATAGGGCCTAAAATTCACAGGCCCTTGTCCTTCACGTAGGTTGATAACATGCTCTTTTTGCCTTCTTGGAGGTAATCCTTTTGGGTCATGGAATACGTCATATTAATTAAGCAACCTCTCCAATTGTTGTAGTTGTTCTTTGTGCAAATTAGGAATGTCGTTCTTTGCCCTTAATTGTTTACTGACTTGTAATTCTGCTACAAACAAACAACCTTCTATCACCTTGATTGGTTTTCCAAAAATGTAATGCTTCTTGATTTGCAGCCTCCTTTCCTCTAGCAGTCACAGTTACCCATTCATTTTTTTGCTAAAATGTCATGGACCATTTTCCCCAGTCTATCAACATCTCGCCAAAGGAAGCCAACCATGACATTCCTAATACCACATCAATGCCTTTCAAGTCAAAGAACAAAGCATCAATGGTGATAATTACCTTATTTAGCTAAATATGAACTTCCCTACACTTCCCCTGTGCACAGGCTTTATAACCATCTCCCAGTTTAATACTCATTGGTTTAGTGGGTTCAGTTGGTCATCCCATAGTTGCGACTAGTTTCTTTGAAATAAAATTATGTGTGGCTTCGCTGTCCACCAACACCACGATGGGTACCCTATACACTGCACCTTGTAACTTCAGAGTTTGTGGTGCTAGCCTTCGACCTCCGAGATGCAAGACACTGCACTCTCCTTCTGTATTCGCCACCTCGTTTCCTTCTACAGCAAGCACATTGGCTTTGTCGTTCTCATCACCAAAGTCTTCCAAGAACATCACCTTTAGTTGTCGATCTGGACATTGGTGACACAGATGGTACTTGCCTCCACATTTGAAACATAACCCTTTTTGTTTGCGATCCAAAAGCTCTTGATATGATAAATGGCAGATTCCCCTATCTCGCAATGTAACACGCACCCCGTCTGAAGAGTTTTCAGATCTGTACATTAGGCTTCCTTGCTTGGACCCAGTAACCCGTTTATTATCTCCTATAAGGAACCATTTAGACCCACTACTACTGCCCAACATGCTTAGGCCTCCTGGATGAGATGGCCCTGTTCAGGTTGCCCCAAAATTTTCCTTTCCTCCAAACTGCTTCCCACCTGAATGTAATCGGTTTTGCCCCTGCATTTCATTTTTGATTGCTCTTGCTTAGTTCATCAATCGTAGGCGCGAGAGGAGACCCATGGCTCGCATGCCTCAAACCTTTCCTCGAATATCGTCTCTCAAACCATGGATGAAATACCCAAAACACTAGTCATTTGGCAAGGGTGGGGCTTGAGCCATCAGCCTCTCAAACCTTTCAATGTACTCATCTACACCCCCTGTTTGTCAGAGAGCCATAAGCTGCTCATAAACATCACCATCTCCTACTCCCTCATAACGTTCAAGCAAGTCATTTTTAAGTTGTTCCCATGTTAAATCAGGCAAAAATGAATTGTAGATCCTTCCATGCACAACTGTGCCAAGTTTACTTGAATTTCAGGACTTGTCTCCATTACTCGAAAATAGATTTTTGCACGCGAAATTCATCCTATTGGGTCATTGCCGTCAAATGCGAGTAACTCCACTTTTTTCATTGACTGGCAGAATTCGTCAAGAGCATCCCTTTGCAACCTTTTGGTCCCTGAACCATCAACCGTTGATTGTACTTCTCCTAGCGACTTCTCTGGACTTTTGGTGAGCAGTGCTATTAGTCATGCTTGGTTCTCCTCTGTTTGTAATGCATCGCCTCAATAGCTGATTTCAAACCAACAATTTCTCCTTCAATCACCGCCATTCGACCCTCCATGATATCTATGTTCTTTCCCTGTGTTCCCTTCCTAGGTGGCATTCACCCTTATAGTATCTGGCAGGTCGGACCAGTTTGTTACAAACCAAACCCAACAGAGAGTAATTAAGATGAAGAATGAAGAGATATGAGAAAAAATTGAGTTTATTTTATTGAATGGATTGAAATATTAGTAGGGAATACAACTGTTGTTGCCCAAAGCGTAGCTCCTATAGAGAGTTACTGCTCTCTATCCTCTCTCTTTACCCCCTTTGCCTCTATAAGGATAATCATAACTAACTCTTCTTATTACCTTCTCTCTCTGCCAGCTCATTATTCATTCTTTCCTTTTTCCTCTTATACACCCTTCAAATGGTGGACCTCTTACATGGTTACTGGATCGTAATAGCTTTGTAACTATTTTGGGCCATAACAGTTACCTTGTCAACATCCCTAGCAGCAACACAAGGATCAACAACAACGGTTGCATTTCAGATGTGCTTGCAGATTTGGATGACAACTTCTTTGCTTGCTGATAGGTTGGCTGTTGCTGGACAAGTAAGAAAATGATTCTTTATTAAAATGTAACTTTTGCAACCTAGATGGTTAGGATGAAGAATTTTGATTTGTTTTCAAGCACAAATATTTACTATATGTGGAGGAACTAGTGCAGCAACCTCCATCCTAGTTAGGTTTGGGGTGGGTAAATGTATGTAGCCTAATCTTTGCACATAGAGAGGCTTTTTTCCAAAATTTGAATAGGATAAAACTGTTACTGTTGAACTAAGGCTGACCTTCTAAGCGTATATATTTTACTAAATCTAAAAATCAAATGACCTCTAATGCTCAAGATTTACCATAAATGAACATCCAAGGAAATGAATATATGCATTTATAGAAGAAGTAACTAGCAGAGTAACTAAGCAAGGCTACTAAGTAACTTTCTAGATTTATTAGTTACCTTACATGCCAACATCATTCATTGCCAATTAAATAGTAAAGTGAATCAACAATTTATGCTTTTTTATTTTCTTAGCAAATTCTATAATTTAACTTCTCCAAAACATAAAGATATAAACTACGTTTAACTTATGAGAAAATTTATTTATTTTTTATATTGATTTTCTGCTTCAAATAAAACTTAGGTTATCAAATTGGCCCTAAGTCATATTCTAGATTTATTAGTTAGTTAGCATGCCAACACCATTCGTTGCCAATTAAGTAGTAAAATGAATCAAATTCTTCTCTATAAGTCAAAATCAATTTATGCTTTTTTATTTTCTTAAGAAAGTTCTATAATTTAACTTCTCCAAAACATAGGAATATAAGCTACTTTTAATTTATGAGAAATTTTATTTATTTTTTATATTGATTTTCTTCTTCAATGTTTATCAAATTGGACCTAAGTCACATTCTAGACTTATTAGTTACTTTGCACGCCAACACCATTCCTTTTCAGTTTCCTATGTGATTACATTTAGGGAGTTTCTACGTGCTTCAGCGTATCATTTGCCTCAGAATCATCAGCATAAATCCTCATGCTTTGTTTGTGATATCTGTTGTCATTCATGTATCAATCTTCACTTTAGACGATTCTATTTACTCAAAAATATGTTCCTTTTAGTACATTCAAGCAACATGACCATAGAAAGAGACTCTTATCAGGCAATTATTGCAAGTACATTCGCAACAAGGGATTACGAAAAGGTTGTCACATCTGCCTCAAGTGTGTGGCAGGTACCTCAACTTTTTATCATTCATATTATTTACTTAACTATTCATGTTCTTAATTCACCTGTCTCGCATAATTTGATCAAGCAGCTTGGCATGATTCTTGGGCTGGTGCTCGCATTACATCTTTTTAGTCTACAACCATATGAAAAACTTTTCTTCTGTGGATTCTCAAAGCAAGTATCTGAGATGGTGTTCATGGATCATGAATGTTGGTCAGCCTTACTTTGGCTTTGAAAATCATGTTTTGTTAATGCTGATAATTGTTGTCAAGTTTCGAGCAACTTGTGGATAATTATTAATGCTTTGAGAAACTCAGTCGCTTACAAGTTTACAATTCTAACTTGTGGCTAATTACTAACGTCAGCGTGATATTTAAATTTATTTAAATTTATATTTATCTACTAACGTCAGGGTGATAATTGAGCTTTGGTAATTGGGAACATAGGGTTGCTCAAGCGAAACCAATTATGTGGTAGTGGCACAGCTTAACATTGAAGATAATAGATTTAGAGTATGTCTGTTTCTAATTTTTAAAAGAGTTTTTTTTTAATTATTAAAAAAATACTTTATTATTTTATCAGATTTAATAAATGAAATCTAGTTTTATTAAATGAGATCTAGTAAAAATCTGAATTAAAAAATAAAATCAGTCTAAATATTTAGTTTTATTAAAAATTTGGATTTTAAAACTAGCTTGGTTTTAGTTGTAGCCTCAAAATCTGATTTAATCATTTCTGAACACTTTTATTCATGCATCAATCTTCACTTGAGACGATTCTATTTACTCAAGAGTATGTTCCTTTTAGTACATTCAAGCAACATTGACCATAGAAAGAGACTCTTATCAGGCAATTATTGCAAGTGCATTCGCAACAAGGGATTACAAAAAGGTTATCACATCTGCCTCAAGTGTGTTGCAGGTACCTCAACTTTTTATCATTCATATTATTTACTTAGCTATTCATGTTCTTAATTCACCTGTCTTGCATAATTTGATCATGCAGCTTGGTCTGATTCATATTACATCTTTTTAGTCTACAACCATATGAAAAAATTTTCTTCTGTGGGCTCTCAAAGCAAGTATCTGAGGTGGTGTTCTGAATCATGAATGTTGATCAGCCTTACTTTGGCTTTGAAAAACATGTATTGTTAATGCTTTGAGAAACTCAGTCGCTTACAAGTTTACACAATTCTAACTTGTGGCTAATTACTAACGTGAGCGTGATATTTAAATTTATATTTAACGACTAACGTCGGGGTGATAATTGAGCTTTGGTAATTGGATAGAGTTCCTCAAGCGAAACCAATTATGTGGTAGTGGCACAACTTAACATTGAAGAGAGGAGACTTATTGTTTTATCCAGTTTTAATAAATGAAATCTAGTTTTATTAAATGAGATCTAGTAAAAATCTGGATTAAAAAATAAAGTGAGTCTAAATATTTAGTTTTATTAAAAATTTGGATTTTAAAACTAGCTTGGTTTTAGTTGTAGCCTCAAAATCTGATTTAATCATTTCTGAACACTTTTATTAATTTGAAACAGTGGTGAATTGTACATAAAAACATTGGAAATTTCCTATTGGGTTAAACTATGAGCAAAATAATAGCAATTAGTCTACACAATGTGTTATTTAGGGTGCAAAGCCCACAATTTATATAGAAAGAATCCATTCTCAATATATTTTATAGTGTGTTTTGTTTTTTTATCAAAATATTTATTCGAGATAAGCAAGGCCTCATATACTTAACATAGTTTTATAGAAAAGAAAGTTCATCATTATTTTCCAAAAAAAAAATATATGAATTTTTCCTAATGCATGTTTCTTTCCCCTTTAATCAATGATTGAAGATTATTAGCAAATATTTTTTGGGTGAAAGGAGCAACTTGTCCGTTAAAATTGCGATGAAACTGGTGTATAACGGCAATTATCATAGATATTTTACAAAAATTATAAGTCAACCATTAATAAATATTTATATAAAAATAAAATGAAATATTTTTTTTAGAAATTAAAATAAAATATATCTCAATTTTTTGAAATCTCTCATTTAAGTTCTCCAACCTATAAAGTGAAAGTTAAATTTAACTTATTTAAAAAATTAAATTACCTTATAAAATAAATAACTCTATGATAATTAAATTGATAAAATTTTATCCATAAAAAAATTCAATAATAAATTAACATAATTTTTAATATAACATGTTAATTTTATTAATTTATCTATTATAAAACTATTTATTACGTGAGATAATTTAGAGTCTATTTTTTGACAAATTCTTACTCATTTTATTTATTTATTTATCAAAAGTTTATTCAACCTAACCCCGTGAATAAGTACATTTGTAGCACAAACTATAACTCTCTATTCCACCGAGTGAATCTTTTTGGAGTGTTTCATTCATATTTCCTAAACACGTTAGTTACTTTGAAACAGTAATCAAAATACGATGATCTTTTTAATGGATAACGCTGTCAACAAAAATTGTAGAAGTTGATCCTTATAGCATCAATCCCTGGCGCAAAGTGCATAGTTTGTGGACACAACACAGTTACTGCCATAAGAAAATCCAATACAACATGAGACATCACCAAATAAAATTAATTTGTAGTTTATTCGCAAGTTGCTTTAAAGACCGTCGAATTAATTACTAATTTATTTGCTAGTTGCTGCACATTAATATTCTATCTAACTCATAAACAATTTTTTTTTTTTTTTGCCAATTATTGCTGAATAAAGAAAGACTTGATAGTTGACCATTGACTGGGACACTGCAAATATGATTCCTCTTTGCACTTGTGGCACAAACTAAAATCAATCCACAAGTGCATTGCGTTGCTTTCTCTGATCTCTGATCTCTGTTCTCTCCCCAAAACCATGGCTGAATCAGTCCTCTTCAGCGTGGCAGAGTCACTCGTAGGGAAGCTTGCTTCCCGTGCCATGGAAGAAGCTTCTCTGGCAATGGGTGTGTATGACGATCTACGCGAGATGAAACAGACTATCTCATTCATCAAAGCCGTGCTGTTGGATGCAGAACAAAAGCAGCACCTGAACAACCAGTTGCGTCAATGGCTCACGCAGATCAAGCACGTGCTCTACCACGCCGAAGACATCGTCGATGACTTTGAGTGTGAAGCGTTGCGAAAGCATGTTATTAAGACTCAGGGCAGCCTGTCCAGAAAGGTACTCCGCTTCTTCTCAGGTTCTAATTCTCTCATATATCGTCTTAAAATGGCACATGAGATTAAAGAAATCAATAAGAGATTAAACAAGTTTGCAACTGATAGAAACAACTACGGCCTCCAAACCAATGATGTTGATACGCGGGTCGTGCATACGAGGGAATTGACCCATTCCCACATAAATGCTTCTGATGTGATAGGAAGGGAACACGATAAGGAAAAGATCCTTGAACTTTTGTTGCAAGAGGATGATGGTGAAAGTCTCTTTGTTATTCCCATTGTGGGCATTGGAGGTTTGGGAAAGACCACGCTTGCAAAGACTGTTTTCAATGATAACAGTGTTGATGAGTCTTTTGAGTTGAAGATGTGGGTGTGCGTGTCCGATGAATTTGAACCCAAGCAAATGCTTATTAAGATCCTCAACTCTGCTCCAAACCTATTTCCAGAGAACTATGAGCACCTCGAGATGGAGCAGCTAAAAAATCATGTGAGACATATGCTTGATGGTAAGAAGTTCTTGCTTGTCTTGGATGACGTGTGGAATGAGGATCGTGTTAAATGGGTTGAGTTGAAGGGTTTAATACAAATAGGTGCCAAAGGAAGTAAAGTCCTTGTGACTACTCGTAGCCATTCCATTGCTGCCATGATGGGCACTAAACCCTCGTACTCCTACCCTTTAGAAGGTCTTTCTGAAGTGGATTCCATGACTCTGTTCATTAAATGGGCTTTTCAAGAAGGAGAAGAGAAGAAGTATCCAGAATTGTTGTTGATTGGGAAAGAAATTGTAAAGAAATGCCGAGGGCTTCCGTTGGCAGTGAGAACTTTGGGATGTTCACTGTTCTTAAAAGTTGATAAAGAAGAGTGGACGTTTGTTAGGGACAATGAGATTTGGAATTTACCACAAAATAAAGATGACATTTTGCCGGCTCTGAAATTAAGCTATGATCAATTACCTTCTCATTTAAAACGATGTTTTTCTTGCTTCTCCCTTTTTGATAAGGATGTTATTATTAGTAGTTTTCATGTTTCTGCGCTTTGGCAGGCACTTGGTTTCCTTCCATCGTCAATGCAAAATAAAACATTGGAAGAGGGTTGCACTCAAATTTTGCATGAGCTGCGCTCGAGATCTTTTCTTCAAGATTTTGTTGACCATGGTAGTACTTGCAGTTTCAAATTACATGATTTGGTGCATGATCTTGCACTTTATGTCTCAAAAGATGAGTTTCAGCGCGTGAAATCCCGCACTCAAAATATATCTGAAAGTACCCAACATTTGTCATTTGCTGAAAACACTGTGCTTGGCCAAGCTTCCTTTCCTACAGGTCTAAGAACCATTATTTTTTCTCGTGGAGCCAACAATGAAGCTTCCTTGAATTCATTGTTGTCGAGGTGCAAATACTTGCGGTTTCTGGAAATAAGTTATTCTGATTACAAGAGTTTGCCTAGCTCCATTGGTAAGTTGAAACATTTAAGATGTCTCATTCTTCAAAATAATACAGAACTTTCAAGATTCCCAGATTCAGTGTGCAAACTCCAGAATTTGCAAGTTTTACGACTCGATGATTGCAAAAGCCTAGAAGCATTGCCCAAAGGCATAGAGAACTTGATCAACCTTTGCCAGTTGTATTTAACCTTTAAGCAATCTAGTTTTCCAGAGATTGCAAAATGGACTTCTTTAGAAACTTTATCCTTGGATTCTTGCGACAACCTGAAGTCATTATTTGAAGGGATACAACTTCCTCGTCTTAAATTTTTTATTATTGATTCTTGTGGGAGTCTAGAGTCTTTGCCATTTCATGCCATTCCAAACTTGGAGAGTCTGGCTATTTTCAGCTGTCATAAGTTGGAATTGTCAAAAGAACATGACGAAAATATTCCCAGTTTGAAATTAAAGTTACTTGTTCTTTATGATTTACCGCAACTGGTCACTTTGCCTCACTGGTTGCGAGGATCTTCAAACACATTGCAATCCTTGCTAACTGTCAAATGTGTCAATCTTGAGGAGCTTCCTGGGTGGTTTTCAACTTTGATTTGTCTCAGAACACTTACAATTGGAGATTGCCCAAAATTGATTTCACTCTCTGATAACATGCATCACCTCACAAACCTTGAATATTTAGAGATTGAAGATTGTCCTGAATTATATGAAAGATGCCAACCGAAAGGCGGACAGGAGTGGCACAAAATATCACATATCAAACAAGTTATCCTTCGTCAATAAGAAGAGGAAGATTAATTCTCACATAACATTTGTCAAAAGTTTGAAGGTACAATTTTTCTCCTAATGATTTTTGTAACGCTGTTATTTTGATGACTTCCTTTTTACATGTTGGAGTAAGTGATTTTACTGTTTATATTTAATATTATATATTTGCTAATTCTTTGTCCTTTCTGCAGTTATTTTTCTGCATTATATACACATTTCTTGATGCTTTTTGTTTCAACCTATTTCCTCTTTGAGAGTTACATTCCCGATCCAGCGCTGGACGTTTCATTTTAGTTTAAACGAAAATAGCTTCCTTAAGATTAGGTTTAGGAGGGGAACGAAAGGGTTAGAAAGAGTTTAATCCTGTTTTAGAAAGAGTTTAATCCTGTTTGAGAGTTACTTAAATAAGAAGAGAAAGTTTTTGAAATTTTTCTAAATCCTATAAAAACTTATTTTTTAGTTTTTCATTTTGAAGATTTTCTCTATTCCACTCTTTTATACTATTTTACAAATAAGTTTTTATTTTTTTTTTAAAAAAATAATTTTTAAAGTGATAATTTTTTTAAAAAAATTTAAAAAATAAAAATATTAATTTTAAAAGTATTTATATAATTAAATCCACTATCATTCTCCCTTCTCAATATTAAACATTCAAATAAGGGAAGGATTTAACTTCCTTCCCCTTTCCTTCCCTTCCCCTCCTTCTCCCTTTGAACACTTCCATTTTTTCACCTTCCAAATTTTCAAACAAAGTCTAAGAAAAAATGGAAAGAAAAAAATTACTCAAACTTCATTCCTAACACTTCCTCTCCAACCTCCATATCAACCCTATTCCTTTTGTCTAACTCTTCTTCTCCCACCTCATACCCAACTCTCCTCTTTATTCCTAACACTTCCTCTCCAACCTCCATACTAACCCTATTCCTTTTCTCCATTTTTGCTTGAGTAAGACGTCCTGTGCTAACTAGACCTTGCTCTTTTGAGTTCAATTGTATGACTCTCTTTAAATATTGACAACTCATCATTTTTTCTTTTTACTTAGCATATTATATTTTAATATTTTATAACATCTTGAAGTTTATTGCAGTAAATTATTTTTGACATTGTCTCAATTTATTTTTTGATTGAATTGAATATACATAAAAGAATAGATACTTAGATAGAAAATCGTATTTAACTTGAATTTGATACATTATTCAACTCTAAAGAAAATGCTTTTATCACATGACATTTCAATATGATAATATTTATTTCAAATAATTTTGGAAGAACTTTGTTCATTATACTATTATTGAAAATTGTTCTTGGATCATTTGATGATGCATTTTGATGATATATCTTATTTTATTATTCAACTTTTATTTTAATCTTATGTAATTTGATGAATTTTCAGAACAATTATTTTATACTTTCTCTGCTTTATCTTTTTGTATATTAATTTTCAATTGATATTAAAATTATTGTTTCTTAATTTGAACTCTACAAACTGTTAGGAGAATATTGTTAAAAGTTAATAGAAAAACAAAGACAGATACTCACAAGAAATTTAAATGAATTTTGAATTTTCTAGTAGCTTGAAATATCATAGGTAAACATTTCCTAATCACTCATAGGTACTTGGTTTCCTTGATGCTATTGGAGAGTAATTTTATGAAATGAGTTGTTCTCTTGCCTCCCTAAGTGTTCAATTTGGAAAAAAATCTAAAAGATAGATGTGATTTATCTATACTTTTTCTATTTTAAAAATCTCTGGTTTAATTTCTTATAATTTAGCTATTCATGCTCTTAATTTGCTTGACTTAAATAATTTGATCATGCAGCTTAGCTAGATTGGGAGGTTGGTTCTATCATTCATTCTTTTTTCTTCTAGGTTTTTCATAAATGACATAAGTGTTGGCATTATTTTAATTAAAATATACTAGTGAAGTAACTCTCTTCCTAGCGATATATTGGTTTCTCAAATATGTAGAGCAGATATGTTTTTCGTCTTTTTTATTTGATGAACAATTAGCTAGTATGTTGTTGTCTCTAGTATTTATTTTTGATGGAGTCAACTATGGAACTTTCGATTTCACATACTCTGCTTAGTCTTGAGTTGGGAAAATTAATTAATATCTGATATAACATATTTTATATTTATAATTTTATTTTAATTTATAAATAATTTTCATTTGCTTTATTTCTAGAGTTTTTATCATTTTCTAGTTATTTGAATAATTTAGGCTTGTCACAAATAAATATTTTAATTTTGTATTTTTTGTTATTCTGACCTCTAATTACTCTTTTGACCATAACTTTTTCTATATATAATGTTTTTGGCTGATTTCAGCTACATTGGATTTTACACTTCCAGGATTTCAAAATGCATATATGGATTGCTGAATTTGAAGTTGTTGTCGATTTTCTATGATATATTTAATTTGAGGCAGAATTGCTGAATCTTGTATGTGAGATTGCATTTGAACCTTTGTTATTTAATAATTGTATAGGGCGAAATTTGGCCATTTAGTTTACTATAATCAGAATCTATAAATAGATTAATAAGGTTCTGAATTAAGGTGTGTGATTAGACACTTTGAATTTTTTAGAATTGGTCGTTAATAAGAATTATTGTTTTTACCTTCTCTCATTATCGCTTGGGTTAAGTGTTTCTATGGAAAGTTAAACCTCTCGTTTAATCCGCAGGATCTAGATATGTAAATCTAATTTGAGTTCTGGGCCAAATTACTCTAAATTTGTTCTTTTTTTTTCTAATCTCATATTTGTGTATTGCGATTGTAATAAATTTTTCTGTTGTTAGAATTTAAATTAGGACTCAATTGATGCTCTAATTTGATAATTAATACATATTAGGTTAAATGATAATTTGATTTAATTTATAATACTATTCAATTAGGTTATTCGATTGAATTAATAATTGGATTAGGTAATTGTTCAAATGCAGATTAAAATCTTTAGATACTGTGATAATCAGAGTTACACACATTTGGTATTTTGTATATTAATATTTCTTAATCTATTTTTATTCAATTTAAATTTGTTCATAGTTTTAATTTAATTAATTTGAACTTTTCAAACCCGCAAACTTTATATGCTTTATTAAATAATCTAAAATTGAATTTAACTGAAAATGTGTCTCTATGAATTGACTTAGGTTAAGTTCTATATTGTAAAATCCTTCAAAAAACTTAATTGTTTTTATAACAACTCGACATCATCTATGAGTATCCTTAGCTTCTTATGACAACCTAAAGTCATTATTTAAAGGGATACAACATCCTAGTCTTAAAATTTTTATGATTGATTCTTGTTGGAGTCTAAGTCTTTGCCATTTCATGTCATTTCAAACTTGGAGAGTTTGGTTATTACAATCTGTCATTAGTAGGAATTGTCAAAAGAATTTGACGATAATATTTAATAAATCCATATCTTGATACATTTTATGGATTATTGGAGTTTATTTTATAAAGATTTCTTACTAGTTTTATTATTGACTTTCACAGTTAAGCATAAGAGAGTTATTGATGTATTTTGGAATATTTTAAGCAAAAATTGAATAATTGTAGTTGGTATTGCATTTAAGCATGACTGTGCTTCGCACTTGACATGGGCTTGCTACGTTATCTAGCAATAGATTTGTGTTCAAAAGTCTAAATTCAAATTCAAACCTTGTAAAAGTTTGAATCCATATGTAAATTTGGAATTCAAATAGAGATTTCAGTTGAGATTTTAATTGCTGATAAAACTGATTTGGAAAGATAGAGTTTAACCGACTGAAAACTCAAGATACATTCTATATAAAGAAGACTTCATCAAGACTTTTTTTGGGCATTCTACACTTTTCTACATACTTCTTCCACCTCTTAGTTCTGACTTATTTGACTATTGAGAGTTATTGGAGATCATTGGCAAAGATAACGATGCTCCTGTTAGAGTCCGAGCGTGTGATTGAGTACCCCTTGGAGAACGAGACTCTTTTCATCTTTTGTTTTCTTTTGTATTTCTCTTGTTTGAATTCTTTTTCGTGTTTTATGAATTGCTTCATCATGTTTTTTGTTGTTTATTTTGGTATGAATGGCTAAATTCATAACTAGAGCTATGGTGGAACTTATTGCACACTCTGCAATTTTTACGTTTAATAATAATATTTTCTTTGTGTGTTTGGTTTTTATGCTATTGAATTAAATTATTCATGTTAAGAACTAATCACCCTTAATATCTCATAGTTAATTATATCGTAAGCGATCGTACACATGTAATTAATAGAATTATAAGATAAACATGTGTTTTTTATATTTTCTCTACCTTTTGTCTTGCATAATCATTGGAAGTAACCGCTTAAGAAAAAGAATATTAATATTGTATGATTATTAGATATTAATAGATTAAGTAAGGTTGGTTGGTAAACATTAAAAAAATTGACATTGAAATTAAATTAAAAAAAATATAGAGAAGTGTAATAGGTAAAATTATATGTTTTAAACTCTTTTCATTTAATTTCTGTCAAAAAGCTCTTTCATTTTTTCAAATTATTTTTTCAATTTAAATTATTTGTGACTTTTAATTCATTACGCATCCTTTTTATTTAAATAATTAAATCAAAGTATTTTTAATAATTAAAAATAATTTATATAAGATGATAACTATTTGCAAACTAAATTTTTAAACCTTTTATTACTTTTCTACGACCACTTTTGCCCACGAATAATAATCACTGGTAGCGAGGAACTTCGAACACGTTGCAATCCTTGGTAACTTTTGGATGTGTCAATCTGGAGGAGCTTCCTGGATGGTTTTCGACTTTGATTTGTCTCAAAAAACTTTGAATATGAGATTGCCTAAAATTGATTTCACTATCTGATAACATGCATCACCTCACAAAGCATGAATATTTAGAAATTGAATATTGTCTTGAATTACATAAAAGATACCAACCGAATGTCGGAGAGGACTGGCACAAAATATCACACGTCAAACAAGCTATCTTTCATCAACCATAACCAAAAGTAGAAGAGTAATTCTCGGACAACATAATCAAAAGTTTGAAGGTACAAATTTTCTCTCAATGAATTTTTGTAATATTGTTATCTAAACGACATTCTTTTCCTTTTACAACTTAGAGGAAGTGATTTTATTCTTTACCTTTACTATTATTTAGTTGTTTATTCTTTATATTTTTGCAGTGATTTTTGCACATTTTATATAGATTTTAACCTGTAAGATTATATATATTTATAGCTGAGCATATAGTTTTGCTCTTTATTTAGTATATTACATTTTATAACATCTTAAAGTTTAGTGTAGTAAATTATTTTTAATAATATATTAAAATTTCATTTTTAATTGAATACACATCTAAAATAGATTAAAAAAAAACGTAGTAAACATAAATTTGATACATCGATAATTTTAGTTTCAAATAAAATTGGAAGAATTTCGTTTATTATACTATTACTGAAAATTGTTCTTGGATTTTTCTGATGCATTTTAATGATATATCTTATTTTATTGTTATACTTTTATGTTAATCTTATGTAATTTAAAGAATTTTGAAACCATTGTTTTATACTTTCTATGTTTTATCTCTTTTTGTTTATAAACTTTCAATTGATAATGAAAACATAGTCTCTTAATTTGAACTCAACATAGTGTTGAGTGAAATATTGTTGAAAGATTAATAGAAATATAAAGATAAATACTTATGAGAAATTTAAATTTCATTTAGAAATATTTCTAAAATTTCAATAATTAGAATTTCAAATTAATTATACAAAGACTAAAATTTCATTTTAACTTCTGAAATAGTAAGTGCTAGATATTTAAGTTTCTAAAATTTAAAAAATATCATGTTGGTCTCACACTTACATTTTTATTAGATATTTTAATCTCTAAATTCAAATATTATTCAAAAATAATAATAAAATATTATATTGAGTTATATATTTGATTAAATAACTAATTAAAACAATATCATATATGATATGATATATGCTTTTATTTCATTTTGATTTTTAAGATTGATACTCGTTAAACATTTTAGTCTTTTAAATTTTTCATCTATACATCATTCTTCTTCGTTCTTTCTTACCAGAAAATATCATTGCCCTCAGCACTAACCTAGATAAAAGTAGACCCTAAAAATTAAAACTTTGAGAGTAAAAACAAATTGAGTAACGAGTTGTTCAAAGATCAAGGCCAAGGCAGCGATGGTATCAAGTGATTTTGGAAGATCAAAGGAAGACAATATTAAAAATTAAAATAAAATGAAAACATATATCATATCTTATATGATATCATTTTTATCATATAATTATTTATATATGTCACTTATCATGACATATTATCACTTTATTATTATTTATTAACGATATCTGGATATAGGGACTAAAATACTTGATATGAATATAGGTTAGATACTAATATGACATTTTTAAAATTTTAGAAATTAAAATATCCAATACTTACTATACCCTGTCAAGGACCAAAATAAGAGTTTAACCTTACATAGAAACATGCATGCTCAATAAGATATATGGAAAATGGTTAAACAAGCTGTCCAATGTATGTCAGTTCTCAAAATTATACTCTGTGAACTAATATTAAAGCACTTTCTATGTTTAACTTATTTTATGACTACAAAGGTTATAAGCTACAATACATTGTAATAATAGGGCTCATGTTTTTAAAATGAATAATCGTAACTTTTTTATGTCAATATAAAGTTTGATCGAGACACTTGTTCTCCTTATTTAAGGTTTGGAATGTGTTTTTTTTAAATTTTCAATGGTTGAATCGTTAATGGAAGATCTATAGTACGAGATATTAATTTTGCATAGTATTATATTTGCCTCAGAATCATTATTAATTACATGAATCATCACAGGCTCTTTGTAGTATATATTTTTGTACATTTATCAATTTTTTTTATTGGATAATTTTGTTTATATAAAAATATATTTTACCCGTACATTCATAACGAGATATAAACCATAAAGAAAGACTCTTTTCAGGTCAATCTTACGAGTGCATTTGCGGGAAGAGACTACAACAAGGTCATCACACCTACTTCTCTCATTTGATGCAGGATTTAGATCTTGCTACCCTTCATGGTATTTGTTTATCTTTTGAGGCTCTTAACTCACTTGAATCATTTGATCATGGAAAATTGCTTGATTATATGGCTTGTGCTCTCGTTAAAATCTTTTTAGTCTACTTCTGTTTGTTTCTAGGTTATTTGCAAACAACATCTATGTTCTGCGACTTAAGAAGTATTGACATTTCAGTAAGTAATACTCCTATATATGCATAAGAGGACTCCCTTCCTACAAATATTGGTTTTCCAAATTAAAAACGCTAATCTTTTTCTCCTCTCTTTTCTTGATGACTATTTACTAGAATGTTGCAGCCACTTTGGCATTTGTTCTAATGGAGTCAATTATGGAGCTTCTGATTTTACTTACTTTTCTTAATGGTAAGTTTAGAAAACTATTTTTTCTGTACAATCATAGCAAATGTCAGAGATGATGGTGTTTATGAGTAGTGAATGTTG